TTGTTTTGAAAAAATTTCAGGATTCGAATCACAATGTACTACCATCTTTAAGTTTTTGTTTTCGTTCAAATACATCGTAAAGAATAGCCTGGGGTCAAACCTGGGTACTAGTGGTCTATGGTTGCGCCTTACCACTTAAATGGACCCTTAGATAGGACTCAACCAGTATCCGACTCATCCGAGAGGTGCGTCAATCTGAAATTGATCTTATCCGGTTCGGACACTTCAAAAAAAGAAAAAAAAAATACATCGTAAAGAATAAACATTATTTCGTAACCAAAGTTTCAATGGAACAATTTGCTTTTTGCAGATGAAATCCTTTTAGGATATGACTTTATTTGAATCTTAGACATGAAATCCTAACTAAATTAGAAAGCATATGACATATGATAGATTGTATGTTGTCTTTGATTTTGTGTATTGATTTTTTGTTTCCCGCAAAAGTAAAAAAAAGGAAAAAATATTATTAATTTAAAATAAATGTAAGGAAAGAAATTCCTTTTTTTTTTTTTTTTAACTTACCCAAGTGATCAACATCTTTTCCAAAGAAAGTAATTCATCGATCTTTGATAGCAAAGAAATCAGATTATTTGCATCCCTCGTAAAAATGCATTTATATTCAATCGAATTTCCTCCTTTATAAGATCCTAAAGTACCAAAATCAAACCCAACTAAATATGTGTTGTCATCGTAGTGGAAATCAATGCGCATCTTTTCGTGCATATGTTTCGTTTCGTTTCGTAATGAGAAAATTTTCCAATATAACTTTATCGTTGATTTTGAATCATCATAATTTCTTGTCTGTGACAATCATAAAAAAAGGAGAGAATTTTGATATTAGATTATGGTATAAATAAAAAAAAAAAAGAGGGAGAGAGATGATATATATACCTCGGGTTGTTCTCGAAAATGGGGATTACATGTTCTTCTAATAGGATTCCGTGTATTAAAAAAAAAAAAATTTAATATTCGTTTCGGAACCTTAACTTTCTTTCCGATGAACCTTAATAAGCCTTATCCATAGAAATCTAATCGATAATGGTAAAAAAAAAAAAAAAAATTACAAAAATTTTTTTTTTTTTGTTTAATCACAATCAGATATAGTTGATACAATAAACAAATTCAAACTTGAAAATACCGAATAGATAAGATACAATAGAAAGACTTTTTGTCATTATTCATTTGTTTTAAGGGAAGATTATTATAAATGAAACACAAAAACTTTACAACAAATAAATAAATTTCATATGAAAGTTTTGGTGATTTTTAAATCGTGCAACAAAAAAAATGATCATGGGGATGCACATGTATGTAGATCGAAAAAGAATCATCAAAAAAAAAATTTTTTACTTGAAAGGGTAAATTTCGCAGGAATTCGTAAAATAATCTCTAATCATTCAAATCGAACACGAGAATCTAAATTGGTTTATCAATATTAAGAACCGGAATATATTATTTGAAGATTATAATCAGTTTATGCACGCAATCGATAATGCAAAATTTTAGATTTGGCTACTTGACGACGCAATTTTTTTTTTTTTTTAATATTTCAGAGATTTAAATTATGCTTTAATTGTTAGGATAGTTATCATAAAAGTTTCAATCATTTAGAAAAAATAAAAATTTTATTTATAAGGGATTTTTATGAGCCGTGTTGAAGAATTAATAAAAGAAAATCTTATGGAGTTGTTAACATCTTATAGTCCAAACTTCTTGGAATTCAATTAAAGTTGCATCTTTTCTCGTTCATTTGGAAGTTTATCATCCTTAATTCATCAAAACAAATCAAAAATAAATAAAAAAAAAAAATAATGCAATTTAATTAATATTTTAAACGATGTAATCAGATAGGCGTTTAATAAATCACAGAACAAGCAACATGTTAACAATTACTCTTTTGCGTACCCTTGAAACGTGTTTACTGAACATGATGTTCAACGCTCATTTAAATCGCGTTACGTTATGTCATGTGTCTTTTCGTGATTCTTCGTAAGAGTCACGTTATATACTTCATTCTTCTAAATACCAATTTAGCGAATAATATAAATAAATAATATAGTCAAATTGTGGATGAAAATTTTTAATGCTCAATTGATGAAATATTTTCTTTCCGTGTGCAAGATAAACTTTTTTTTTTAGAATGAGACCAATCGTTCAGAGAAATTTTTTAATAAAAATTAACATTTTGTGCTTAGGAAAGTTGGGGAAATTGTTCTGCACGTGACATGAATAAGATAACGATTTAGTTGACAAAAAAAGAACATTATATAATACGCGATAACGCGTATTACCAAACATTATGTGACTCGTGAAAGATGTCTGCATCCCAAGACATTTTCGTTGTAAAATTCGAAAACATTGCAGTATTATTCTTCGTTTACAGATTTTTCTCATTAAACAATTTTAATGATTTAATAATGATTTGATGATTTGGGAGTGTTGAGAAAAGGGACAAAATTGTAAAAAAAAAAAAAAAATAATAATAAATGTTCTGAATCATATGATAAAAGTTACATCTATTTCTAGGAATAGGAATAAATTTTTGGAAATTTTTTAATTTGGTCCCTTTTCTCAGCACTCTCCCCATTTTGGAAAAAGAAAGATATGAATCTCTTTGGATTGGTAAGTAAATAAGAATTCTTACTTTTACTCCCCAAGAAAGACAAAAGATATGAATATATTTTTAAGCAAATAAAAAAACTTGTTTTTTAATCCAACTTGGGCGGCACTACAAAATTTGCCAGAGTTAATTTTAAATTTTAGATTGGTTAAAATTTTCATCGCTCTTGAATCATCACGCTCTTGAATTATCACAATGATTAGAAAGTTCCATTTTTGTTTTGTTATCTTATCATATGAGAACGCATTTAGTTTTAATAATCATAATTTCTTTAATGGGACATAAATATTTGCCATAAACAATAATTTTTATCTATCTGACCAATTTTTTGCAGGTTTGTGTTTTTTATCATTATCATAAGATAATTACCTAAAAGATCTTAGATAAACTTAATTGGGACTTATAGACAGGTCAATTGTATATACTAGATAAATTTGATCTTTCATCCTCGATATCTAGGTTTCTTTCTTACCTTTCTATTGAATGGCGCAGACTTTGATTAATCCGTTGCCTTATGATTTTTTTAAGGTTCTGCTTAAAGAATCGAGGTACGGTTTAAACCAATTCCTTAATGGAAGTGAATTTCAAATTTTCAAAATGTAACAATCCTTTTTTTTCTTTCTTTCTTTTTTAGTTTTAGGTATATGTGTTCCATCCGTACGGTAGATAGTAGATGGAATGAATTAATCGATCGGGCTATTCGTGAAGAAGCCGAAAACCGGCTTAAAAAGCTGTGTATTGAAGTAATTGATTGTGCAATGACCCCCACCTTTTTTTTTTATTCCCCCCCAAAAATAAAAATTAATTATAAATTTAATTATTTGTTTTTTTTTTTTTTTAAAAAAAAAAGTATGATTCTACCAAATTATCAACGAGGGGGTTAAATATAGAGTATGACGCTTCACGAACATCCTTCATTATCGACATAGATGATGATAGGTTCACACAATTTATTGGTAATATTCTCACAGATAACGACCCTAGGAGAGAATATGCAAAGGTCACCTTACACTACGAAAATGGGACCTCCATTGCTGAATTTAATTTTGGTACTTTAGAATATCGTAGGGTGAGGTTAAATGGAAAATACGAGATCGAACATAATATGATTCAAAGAAGTTGTGACGACTGCGAATTGATTTACGAAGGTGATCAGTCTTACGCCGACTCCTTCCATATAAAGATCAAGAGATTGGTCATATCGCTCTCGAAAACTTGCGCGATCCTGGACCTCTTGAATGGGTAGGTGACGAAGAAAAAAATTGTTTTTGAGTATTTTTTTTTTTTTCCTAAATACCTTCTTTTTAGGTCCGAATCTCTTCATGATTTTATATCTAGGAAAGATGTATACAACAACAACTACAACAATAATAATAATTATGATACGTTTCCTTAATTAATTTTATCAAGAACCTCCCTTTACAAATGCATTATCTTTATAATATAAAATTTTATTTTTATATTATTCTCTTTATTTTTGTTACAAATGCGTTATCTTAGCAAGCTCAATATTTAAAAAAATTTTTAACAACATTCATTGAATTGAGTCTTATAAGTCCATTAAATAAAGCTTCATATTTATTATTATTTAAAATTCCATGTTTAATAAAAATTTGGCCCTCAATTTTTTTTTTTTTCAATTACTACGCCGACTTCAAATGAAAGTTTCATTTTCAAAATCAGGAAAAAAAAAAAAAAAAAAAGATCATAAATATCTTAATTTAAAATAAATGGAACCAAAAAAATCAAACCAATTCTCTTTAACGATATTATTAATTTCAATAGCAGTATAAACGGGATGATTCTTCAATTGTAGTATACCTAATTACCAATCTTCTTACTTTCATTTCCTCGTCACAATTTGGTTCTTTTTGAAAAGATAAAATATCAAAGATACTTTCTTTTCACGAATTTTATCGTGTCTGTAAGGAATTACATACCTTTGTTCTAAAAATTAAAGAAGAATTTGAAATTCCATAACTTGCTATGTCATATCAACAAGTGCTACGTTCATTCTTTTCAAAAAAAAAAAAAAAAAAAATCCTTCAAAAGTCATTTCGCAAAAAGTTACATTTACTAATTCTTATTTATTGATTTAGAAACAAAGATTATCTATTATTATCGGAACAAATTGGCTTAATAGAAATTTATTCTATTCCTCTCCAAAGTAAATAAATAACAACTCGATTTTTTTATCAGAATTCAATTTATAACGACTCAACAAAATCGTTTATTTATCAGATTCTTCTACCTGATAAATTTAGAAATATGAAAAATTTTATTTTTTGTGTTAAAATTATTAGTTTCATGTTTCAATTTTAATTTTTGTTATTATTAATGAGGATGTAATTTATATTTAAACCTTGTGGATTTTTTTATATATTCTTCGAGACTTCGAGAACTTGAATAAACCATTTTGATCGGACGATGTCGAATTAAAAACCACTTTCGAAAAGCACAACAACACTTTGCAAGTGCTGAAATCAGGCCTGATCATGTGAATTCAAAAACAAGAATTTATGATACGACTATGTTCTAACATTGATTGCACTTACTTATCCTACTATTCGCGTATTATCGGTATGGAAGAATAATGAATGAGGATAATTGCCTAACAAGAAATTAAAAATATTTAGTAAAAATATTCATTATAAATTATTTTAACGACATAATAAATATCGTTAATCATGCCTTCAAAAGTATACAGTGAATCTTTGGGGGAGGAAAAAAAAGAAATGTTTTTGGTTAACAAATTAAACAAAATTTCGGGAAAAACAAAATCTTTTGGAAAGGGAAAACTTATCTATCTTCATAAATAACGCGTGCAGCCGCTCGAAACTTCAAATCCAAAATTCAAATATCTTTTTAGCATGAATCAAAAATTTTCATGCAACAACCAAATGAAACTTAAAATCAATCTTATTAAAAACTTTCACATCAACAGTTAAACGAAATTTAAAAGTTAAATTTTGAAAGTTTTTAATATATTTCCTTATCGTAATCATTTGTTTTAACTTCGTACATCTTCTTGCAACTGTAACAAGTATTGATTGGCCTGCCTCTAAAGTTCCATGTCATAATGCTAGACTTTTTATAGCACATGTCACATTCGTGAAGCCATGATGGTTTTGGTCTCATCTTTTGAATGGTGTAAATCATTTCACATTTCCCAGTCTTGGGCTCTTTATGATCTGGATGAGAATTATTTCTAGATCTACGCCAAACCCGGCCAATGTAAGTACTGTCCATATCAGTAAGCCAGTTATACCACTTTTGACATGTCAATGTTAAGGCTAACGTAGTTTCTGCGGTTGAATTTTCTGCTATCATTAAAAGAATCTCCGGTGGAAGTTTCATGGCAATACAATTAGACTCGTCATTCTTTAGAGGCAGCTTGTTAATTGAAGAATAGTTCGGTCTAATCTTGAGTTCGAATCGATCTTGTTTGGTAATCTCAACTTGCCTTTGTTCCTTGGAACTTGGCTCGGCCCTTAATGTTTCATGGTAAAATTTCTGATCTACTTACGCGTGATAACGTTATCAATCAAAGAAATGAACAATTACTTATGAATAAAAAGATTCGACCCGAACATACCTTCACAATTATGAACACTATTTCTTTTCTTTAATTTTTTCTTTTTATTAAAGCAGGTATTTTTTGATTTTTGATCCTTTTGTGTGGGAGGATGACAATCAATACTGGCTAGAATAATTTTTTTGAATAGTATAAATATTCAAAAAAAAAAAATTTCAAAGATATAATTTAAAGAAAAATAATGCACGTTTATCAGATCTCACCAATTACATTTTTCTTTTTTCCTTTGTTTTTCTTCGGATTATTTCCTTTAGATTCATAAAAAGGCTCTAGTGATGAAGTAGGGAAGTTTGACTGAAAAGGTGTATATGAATTTGACAAATCCGAATCGAGAGATATTTCACTGTTTCTAATCGAATGGTTGGTTTAAATACAGGATATGAATGTAACAATTGATGAATTGTCTTTAAAACAAACCTCCGTGGAATTATCGAATGATCTGTATACAAAGTCTTTGCATGGGTAGTATGAGTAGAGGATGTTTCATTTGGTAGCTGAGAAGTATGTATAAAAGATTCAAAATTATTATAAGGTGACAATCTTGTTGATACATTGCATTTTTGGTAAGCAAAATCAACTCCAGGTGGTGAAGGTTGATCAAAATCTCTGAGCTTATCAAAAGAACCTTTGCCCCAGGTTGGAGAAGGAACTTGCCAGCAAGAAATTTGCGATACCATCGTCCTAAAAGTTGGATATGTGAACAAAATTTATTTATCCAAAAAATCGAACCGAATATAAGCCTGTGAAGCACAAAAATATATAATCCATAAAAATATATACCTTGTTTTTTACGGAAAGGCAAATTTTTTAATAAAATAATATAATTACGATAAAGAAAACCACAATTCACAAGCTATCGTTGTTTTGCAAAAATCGAGAGTAGTAACCAATTTTTACCAGGAAAGGTTTGTGTTCGAGTCTCGTGTAAGGTTTTTCAAAAAAAAAAAAAAAAAAATATAGTAATAAATTTTAATATTTAACAGAATCGAAAAGAAAAGTACCTGATCTATTTTACATACTGAACATTGGTTAAATGGTTTGCTGATTATCATCAGGTGATTGTATTAATGCCATAATTGTTTTTCAAATATTTTTTGATTTTCAGATATTCGTGATTTTCGATATTACGATGAAAACATAAATCATTTCGGATAATTTTTATCATCATTTTTTTAGCCATTTCCTTAACTTTTTTTTTTTTTAAGAACATCCGTGACTCTTCGATCTAATATGTTTTTTCGGAAGCAGAAAGAGGATAAAAAAATATATACATATATATTTAAGATGTATTTGTATTTACAAATTTTCTATTCCTTCGTAATTTTTGACCAACATTATGGAACTTGCCGAAATTAATCATGTGATGACAAATAGGCGTTTCAAAAACTCTTGTTTTTAATATATTGAAAATGAAAGTAGTGTTATTCTTTATTCTTTTGTAATATTTACAATTGAAAATCATTTGATTATTTATAAATTTTACTTTAATAATAATATAAATTGTGAATTAAATAAAGTAATAAATTATATAATTTACTTGAAAGAATTATTAAAGGTTTTATAAATAACTTTTTAGATAATAATAAAATGTAAAATATAAGATAAATAATAATGAATTTATTAATAGAAAAAGATAATTATACTTTATTATTTTTATTAATAATAAACTAAATTAAAATACTATTTTAAAAAAAAATTATTGATTAAAATTGTTAGTTTAAAAGTTATTAAATTTAAAAATAATAAATTTTTGATACCCAGAAATTTTTTTATTTATATATTCTATCTAGAACATTATTCTTCAAATTTTTGAAGATAAAATATAATGATTATAGAGATATAAAATAAAAATTATCATACTTATCTTATTGAAAAACTTTTTGTTAATTGAATCATTATATCATAATAATTTAGAAAATGTGAAGTTTACTATATTTTGATATTATTTTAATTGCAACTAATTATATTTTGACATTAATTAATTTTGATAATATCAAATTAATTACATCTTTTTAACATTTATTATTATATCTGTTAAAATACACTTTAATTAATAATTGTCAATTCACGCTAAAGTATAAAACTAATTTTATTTATTTATATAATATATATAAAGTAGTTATAAATGAAAATATTTATATAAATATTTATTTTACATAATAATAAACTTAAGCTATAATTCACAAAAAATTGTGCCTAGATATTTTTTTCAGAATAATATATATAAATAATAATAAAAATAATATAAAATATTAATCAATATTATTATAATCAAATGAGAATTTTAAATACTTTTAATTTATATATATAATGTAATATTATATATAAAGTAAATTTATAATTATTAAAGTTATAATCTTTAAAATTATAATCTAAATTATAAATTCATTATATAATTTTAAACATTAAATTATAATATTAAGTCATTATTTAGTATACTTAAAATTATTATCTAAATTATAATAAAATTTTAAAATTTTGATCAATTATAAATATTATTTCTTAATTATAATATATAATATTATTATTTTTATTTAATTATATAACTTTATATTACTATAAAAGAATATTAAAAGAAATATTAGAAAAATTTTAATTAAAAATTTGTATAAACTTATAAATGATTATTTTATTAATAGTATTTTAATAAAATAAGAATGAATACTTTAGCAACTATAATTTATAAATAAACAAGCCTTTTATTATTAAAGAAATATTTTATATTATATTATATAACCTTGAATAATATATAAACTAAATGATTAAAATTGAAATTATACAATATATTATAATTAAAAATTTATGATTTAATAATTATATAGAATTTAATTTACTAATAGTTATTAAACATATAAAATATGAAACTATTAAAACTCATAAAATTAAAAGTTTAAACATTTTGTTAAAAAAAATATAAAATTGCTTAATCGTTTTTTTCTATTAATCAACTAATTATACTAAAAAAAGGTATTGATTGAAATTACCAGTTTTTACTTAAAAATATTTTGAAAAATTCGATTTTTACAAAAGGGTTAATACTGTGAAACCTATGGGAGATATTTCGTTTCCAGATATTAAACATTCGAAAAATGCAAGTGTAAGTATTATTGAAATCTATATTATTATTGTCAAGGATAAAAGGTTATAATGTCAATATTGTCGCACCTGTATCTTGTGATACAGAAAATCATCTCTCATTATTATTATTTTTTTTATTTTTTTTGTATCATAACATAATAATTGCATGGTAGTTCTCGTTTCTCAAATGAATATATCGATGATGGAGCGAACCACTTCACATTCGATAACACAAATCTGCGGTCATATTTCCTTAGATATAATATGCCAGCAGAATTTTTTTTAATTTGTGAACCGCCCCATTTCATTTGGGAAACAGGAACGAATAATACGGAATCAAAGATAAGAAGTGCATTAAAGCCATTATCTTATCTTAATAACGGACATGATAAGATAAGATTAGAAAATCAAGATCAAAAATAAAGTTTTATATAATAAAGGAAGTAGAGTTTACCTTTTTCAACCATTTACAATGCTCGATTATCTTATCTTTTCGTCAAAGAACAACAATTAATTATAATAAATGTTGTACGATGATTTTGAATTTGAATTGCATTATCTTATCTCAATATTTTGTTTGTCAAAAGAAAACTGTGATAAGAGAAAAAAATTTTTTAAACGGATTTGTGATAGAAACATTTCACCATAACAAATAAAAAAAGATTGGAGAACAATATGGGGATTTACGTTATACCAACCAATGTACAAAACGAATTCCTTATCAGTTTGAAATTCGGATAAGGAAGGTTTTATCTAAATAATCTTTGTAATCTTTTTTTTATTTTTAATTTGATTTTTTTTTTCTTCTTTTTTTGTGCAGTGCGGAAAAATCAATGATTTATGATGTAGTCTTACTTAAAAAATCCTATTTATAGTAAACGAACGCTTATCTTCTGAAGATCAAAAAATGGGGGGAGCTAATTATAACTGGTTTTTTTGGGGGAAAAAATAGTCCGGGGCTTTAGTTTCAGTTCTCTTGAAATAGTACAACTTGGTGCGACCACCAAATTTGGAAGTATCGTCTTTGTCAGATAATTTGATAGTGCACTGTCAGCAAATTTAGTTACACATTGGAAAATCATTAAAAGAACAATATCTGTTATCCTTGTTTGATACTTTTTCTTAATTTCTTTTTCTCCGATTATATATATATATATATATATATAACACCCATCTCATTCTTTTCCTCATCCTCAAAAAATTTTTTCGTTAAACATCTGCCTTTTATTCAACCAACTTTAAAAATCTCTATATCCAAAATTTATATCAACAAAATGTCCTTCCTTGCTGATTTTGAGCCGGCTCTTATTCACGCACCTTTTGACCGTCACCAACGTCAAGCAACTGGATCAAAGACTCCTTCAACGGATTTATTCACTTTCCGTTTTAAACCTTCCGTAAAAGTTATTCCTAAATTATCAACCATCTCTTCAATTTCATCTTTGGCAACACCGGAAATCAAAAAAGCTAATTGCACATCTTCAATAACCTCGAAAAAGATGCCAACGATGAGCATTTCCTCATCGTCTGCTCCTTCATTATCCATACAACAAGTTCGATATGATCGAAAATATTGGACAGACAAATTGGTTACGTTTATACTTATGATGCCTTACTAAAAATGATGTACAAAAACGAACGATTTTTATTTTATTTTTTTTTTTTTTGCATCGAACGACTATTGTTTTATCAACCCAGGCAACCTTTATGATATTTTTACAAGAAAAAAAATACAAATTACACATTCATATATACAATTAATTCATTTTATTATTCTATTCCTTAAAAAAAAAAAAAAAATTTTTTTATATTTTGTGCATCTGGGTATTTCCTTTTTAATATATTTATTTGTATAGCTTATTATATAGACATTTCATAATTTTACTTCATCTTTTCTTTCGAGAAGCGAGAACAATTAAATTTTTTTTAGAATATTATTTTCAATTTTTATTTTACAGGGAAAAATTTTTTTGTTATTATGATTCATTATGATTCATTATGAATAATCCGAATTAACCGTCCAAAAACTTTTGTTTCCAAATAAAGTCTTATTTGTCACATGATCTTCATTATTTCGGAGTGCAAAAAGTGGAAAAATGATTATTTTCAGGAGAATTCTGGTATCCCCTAGCTGCAACCCGTTTTTTTTTTTTTTTTTTTTTTAAAAAAAAATTTCTCAATTGTTTATCGCCAACCATAACAAGCAAATTATTTATAGTAAATGAGAAAACAGAAGAAAAGAATAATTTGAATCCAAAAACAACCCCGAAAAATTTTTTGCTGCGCATGGCAGAAAACTCCTAAAATGAATTTATAATTATTTTGTATTACAAATGAACGCACTAATTATCACGTTTAAAAAGGAGCGAGCCTGCATTTAATGCATTTTTGCTTGCCTGAAGTTTTAACCAAATTTGGATAAGTCTCTGTTGATCATACTCTCTTGAAAATTTCAATATTCGCTTCAATAGATCTCTATTTATGAATTACTCGTAAATAGTTATAATAGTTTCAATATAAACGAGTTTATTTTTGTAAATTTTTATTATGGATCTATTATCTACAGAGTATGATTCTAGTAGCGATGAAGATTCCACAAAGATCTCAACCAAAAGAACTGGTCTCGGTAGCGCAAATTCTCAACTTGTAAAACGCCCAAAGATAGATTTGGCCCCTAAGGTCAGCTTAGAGGTTAGTATCAACTCGCGGGATCCCCTACCTACCTAATTAGTAACCCGTTGTAAATCTATGCAATTTCTTTGCATGAGTTGGTTACTCGATCTGATCCCGCTTAACTATTTATTTCATTTACTAGTTTTTCTTTTCAAATAAGGACACATCAATTTACGTGATATGGTTGAATTTTTCACCATATAGGATCCGAGGCTTTCGAATTCTATTTTAATAAAACCCACCGATACTCAAATTAATGTGAATATACCGTACGATGATATGATGAGACCTGTAGCTGGTCCTGCTAATCCGTACAGTACTAAAGTGATGAATCAAAACGTTTTAACTGGACATGTTGAAGAACAAGTTTATTCTGAAGCTTCTTTCAAAACGCAACAACGCACTTTCACTTCTTTTGGTTACGCGTTAGATCCTTCGCTTATCACATCAGCTGATGGTGTGGTAGGAAAGGGGTATGTTGGAGATGTTGAGAAAGCTATAGCGATGAATGGTGCTACGATTTATGACCCGACGCCTAAACCGGCTAATATGCCAAAAAGATTACCTAAAGGTGATTCGGCTATATTAGAAGGTGAAAATGCGTATCAGGGTCCTTGGGTTGGTTATGAAGGTGAAAACATCGGTAATCCTGTTGGTCCTCCAGAGGTAAATGTTCAGACCCCTTGTAATGAAAAAGATTGTGATAGAATAGCATTATAAGATTTATTCATGAACAATATTCCTTTTTTTATTCAGGGCGCGATATCTACAAAGACTGAGACCGAAACTAAATCCAAGAAAGAAATCGAGTCCGGAATGGAAAGAACAATATTTCATGGTACATATATTTATAAATCGTGTTATACATTATGTTGATGAGCTAATTATTAAAACTTTTTATCTTTAGGAAAATCGGAATATGATTATCAAGGAAGGACTTATATGCATGTCCCGATGGATTTGGATGTTAATTTGTTGGGGGAGGCTGGTACTCAAGAATGTTTTATCCCGAAACGATGTATTCATACATGGTATTTACCAGTTTGTCGCCTTTTATTTAGACTTATTCTTTATTAACACCCTTTAAATAATAATTTTAGGTCTGGACACAATAAAGGTGTTACTGCAATTCGTTTTTTCCCTAGGTCGGCACATTTGATATTGTCTTCTAGTATGGATACAAAAGTGAAGGTACGGGTGATATATAATTACGATGCAAGTTGATGAATTTGGTTAAAATCTCCTAACTTTTTCATTTTTCATCCGAATAAAGATCTGGGATGTTTATGATGATCGCAGATGTCTAAGGACTTATATAGGTCATAATAAAGCAGTTCGAGATATTACATTCACAAATGATGGAAAGCGTTTCTTAACGGCAAGTTATGATAAATATATCAAATTATGGGATACTGAGACCGGTATGATTAATTTTTCAAGTTAACATTTTTCACAGAAGCATGAAGGGAGCCATTAATTTCTGACACTGCAATATTAGGACAATGCATAAAATCATTTACCACCGGAAAAATCCCTTACGTTGTAAAGTTCAATCCTGACGAAGATAAGCAGCATATATTTTTGGCAGGATGTTCTGACAAAAAGATTGTGCAGGTGAGTCATATCATACCAGTTATCCTTTTTACTTTTGAAAAGATTTTTTTTATTAATTTCATATTTCATGTTTTAGTTTGATGCAAATACTGGCGAAGTGACACAAGAATACGATCAACATTTAGGTGCTGTGAATACCATCACTTTTGTTGATGAAAATAGACGGTTTGTTACTACATCAGATGATAAGACGTTAAGAGCATGGGAGTTCGACATTCCTGTGGTGATTAAATATATTGCAGAACCACACATGCACAGTATGCCCGCTGTGACGTTGCATCCTAACAGTAATTACTTTTTCTTTTTAATTATTAAGTTTTATTAATTTAAATTAATCATATCTTCAAATGTTATATTCTTATTTTGATTCATAGAAAAATGGTTAGCCTGTCAATCTTTGGATAATCAAATTGTGATATATGGTGCCAAAGATCGGTTTCGTATACATCGCAAGAAGAGATTTACGGGTCATTTAATAGCTGGTTATGCTTGTCAAGTTAATTTTTCACCTGATGGAAGATTTATTATGTCTGGTGATTCGGAAGGAAATATATGGTTTTGGGTAGGTGCATTGTTTATGACCATCTTGTATTTTTTATAATCTAATTCTTCTGTTTTCTGTCTCAAATATAGGATTGGAAGTCTTGTAAAATGCTCAAGTAAGTGTTGGTTACTTACTGTTCATCGAAAAAAAATATACATATATTAAAATTTATTTATGACAAATAGGAAATTCAAGGCGCATGATAATGTTGTGATTGGATGCGAATGGCATCCTCATGAGACTTCCAAAGTTGCAACTTGTAGTTGGGATGGATTAATTAAGCTCTGGGTAAGTCATTAGTATTTGATTTACTTATTAAATAGTTATATATACGACAAATTAATCCGTATCTTATATCATTAGGATTAATTTAAATGGAAAAAAAAGATAGATTTTGTCATTCACTTTGTTTTATGCGAGTTTTGGTTATTCAATTCGATTAGCAATAGGTTCTTTAATGAATATCGACCAATGTGATAATATTATTATGATAACAATAATAAAAAAAAAAATAAATAAATAAAAATGGTAAATTATGTTGTATAAATACAAATAATAATATTATCATCATAACCTAAAATAATTTCATTGTAATCTATCATATCCTTATTTCAAATTTATGAAAAGAATTAAGATAGCAATTGTATTGAAATTAATCAGAATTTAGAATGGATTAAAGCCCATTTGCCTCTCAAACTTTCAGGATCTGAACCTGGTGAAAGTCTTTCAAGTACCCCTTCCTTTTCTAATTTGATAAGATGTAAAATCACACCACGTTCTGCTGCTGGTCACAATGATTCTGGATATTTAGCATAAATCTTCTCAACTATCTGTCTTGGCGTTAATGAAGATTTAGATGTTTTAAACTCTTTAATTATTTGATTTTCTCGTTCCAAACGATGAGTAATATATTCTTCCAATTTTTCTGTTCCATTTTCAATCACTGGACCATGTCCAGGATATAAGCGACCAGGAGTGAATCGTTTCAATTTATGTAACGAATCGATGTATTCGCCAAGGTCTTCAAATACAGTTGTACCCTGCCCTAAAACCGTGTCACCAGTGAAAATAGCTTTCTCTTCCTCCAAATAGAAAGCTACATGATCTTCTGAATGACCAGGGGTAAAGATAGCGATGATTGAAGCACCATCCGTTTTGAAAATTTGATTGTCTACTACTTGTTGAAAATTATGATGTGATTTATCGTGTTTAGGGTCGAGCCTTTTATGCACTACGGGCAAAGGCATGTTGTTTTCACTTGCATATTGCAAAATACTATCTACGCCTCCAACATGATCGTTATGCCAGTGAGAAATTATTATATCGGAAATAATAATATTTTCTCCAAGTTTTTTTAGAGATTCAAATAATAGTTGTGTATATTCGGGTTTCTCTCCAGTGTCCAGTAGAATTTTTCTTGGCCCAGTTCCAATAAGGTACGTATTGGTTCCTACTCACAAGTTCAAAAGAAGCTTCTAGCTCGGGGAATTCTAAAAATAAAGCGAAAGTCGACCGAAAAATTTGATTCAAACCTTGTAAAGTAAATTTACTAGGATTTAACCCGAGAACGCGGATTACTCTTTCGGTTAACTGTGTAAAAGTTGGTAATTCTTGTAACACTTCCATTTCTTCCGAGATCTTCAACGCTCTCGGCTAGTTAATAATAGAAATCTCAGCCACTGAGCCACATTACTAAATTGGTATCAATCACCATTTATTTACCATTTATATATGCTGTATTAGCAACTATAAAAATTCAACATATACATTTTTATTTTTATTTTTTTTTTTTAATATTATAATCAAAATGTTGCAAGTTTCAAACTCAATGGTAGCTAGGACAGGACGTGAAAAGCAAGTTTACAAGAAAGGTGGTATACGCCAGGTTCGTAATAATTTCTTTAATTCTTTTATAATTTTTATAAATTTCGGTATTTTAATATATATGTGTGTGTCACAGGTAGCTGGTTGTGTTCCAATTAATAGGAAGACCGGTAAAATCCTGCTGATAACGCGAAGAAAGAAGGGAGAAGGTTGGGTGCTGGTAATTACATCATGAATGATTTTAATTCGATTTTATCGCGATTTCACTGATAATGAGTTCTTTGAAATTAAGCCTAAAGGTGGTTGGGAAAATGATGAATCAAAGCAAGAGGCAGCAGCAAGGGAAACATACGAAGAGGGTTGGTGTTTGGAAATTTAATTTATCAAATGTATATATTTGTAATATTATTTTTTTTTAAAAAAAATTTTTCAATTTTGAATTTGGATAGCTGGTGCAAGAGGTCGAATAACGTCATTGATTGGCGTTTGGAAACATCATGTTATTAAGAAAAAGACTGGATTACCAAAGGCCGAATTTAACTTTTTTGAAATGGAAGTAGATAAACTCGAAGAAAATTGGCCGGAAATGAACGAAAGAGATCGGCAGTGGGTTCGTTTTTTTTTTTTTTTTTTAAAAAAAAAGAAATTTTTTTTTTATTTTAAAAATTTTGAATCACTAATAATAACTTTGAAAATGAAACTTTTAGTTTTCTTATGAAGAAGCATTGAAAGAGCTGATAAAACCTTTTATGCGCGAAGTGGTTGAACACTGTTCATTAGCTCCATCTAATAATAACAATATTAATCAAACTGGAAAGGTAAAAGCATATCAACATTTTCTTTACGCGTGAAAATTTAAATGGATTCCGTTTGATAAGATTATTTTTTTTTTTTTTAAAAAAAAAAAAATTCAATAATTTAACAAGTCAGGTCTGTTCGTAACATCTCATGATGAGGATCGTAAGGACATATGGATATGGACATTTTCGATTTTAATAATTTTTTTAGCATTTATCGTTTGGTATTTATCAACTAGTTATTATAATGACAATAATTTTAATTCTGAAAAATTTACTTCATTATTTTCTTTTGCTGTCGATCACTGACATTTAATCCCCAAGTTTGGATAATTTTATACACATTAATCATTGTAAGTTTATAATATAATATTAATATTGATACAAATAACGAAAGACAATAATTTTGGTTTTTTGATGAAAGATTGAAATTTATTTTTCGAAAACCATTTTTGATTTTCCTTTAATTCATTAATTTTTTTTTTTGAACATGTTATGTACAAAATTAATTTAGAAACAGATTAAATTATCAATTTTATGGTATTTTTTTAATAATTCAATACATGGCGCGTTTTCAAGCCTAAAACATGGTTTGTTATTAAGTTATATAAATATGGAAATTCAATCATGTATGCATGTGGCTTAAATGTAGCATTTTCGCCAAAAATGTCATTGTATGTAACCAAAGCAAGCTCTTATGTTTAAAGTTCCGAATGAGCAAGTCAAATGAATTACACGGAAAATATACCTTTGATTAACAACATCATTTGATTTTTAAAGTGAGGAGAATAGAAGAACTCTCCCCCAATAAACCCTTTCTTGTTTAAAAAGATCCCTTGATAAAGCATAATCAACCTACAAATGGGAGGTAATAGGTCATTATGATCAAATAATGAAAATCCGGAATAACAGAACGGCATTAATATATAGGGGTATTTCCGAACAATTTAACTTTATTAATGTGCAAAATGCTTTGTAATCCTATTTTTAATCCATTTTATTCATTATAATAAAAAAATAATGTCGATAACATAAACCACAGCTGCAGCTTAATACCCCAATATCATATTTAATCATTTGTGTTGAATGTTTCATATTACTTGAACTTTATTACCTTTTTAGGATCAAGTCACGTGAAATTGTTACATTAAAAGTTATAAAAAGATTATATTTTTAATAACTTTAAATCCAACATACTTATAAAATAAATATAATTATATAATAAAAGTATAAAAATAAAAATATTTGAAGTTTTAATTTGTTAATAAAATATTAAAAATCATATATTTTAAAATAAAAATGATTCTTTAAAAATGGTTTATATATTTAAACTTTTATATTATTTATAAAACTATTTATTACTCTACTTTTAGTATTTACTTTTTATATTATTAAAATTATTTAAGAATTAAAATATCATAATACCGTAAAATAAGTTAATGATATTAAGTTAGTATGATATTATTTACTTGTTATTATATATTTGTTATATTAGTTTTTTAATTTTAAGAATAAACATAAAGAATTTAGAAAAATCATTAAAGATTTATTTTAAAAGTATTTTTTTAACTTTTGATATTATCTAATAATATCTTAATTATATATAAAACTAAATAATTGAAATAGAATATATTGATATTTTTAAATATGACATTTACTAAGAGCAATGTAAAGTTTAATTATATAAAAATATATTTTTATCTAAAGTAAAAAATATTTTAAATAAAGTTAAACTTTAGATTTATAAATAATAAGAGCAAAAATGTTTTATAAAAATAATTATTAAAATAAAAATTAATTATATTCAGTTAAAAGTAATAGATTTATTTTTTAATAATAATATTGATTTTTGATTTTTTAATAGAAAATACAACTTAAACAGATTTTTATATCAATAAATTATTATATATACCTTAATATATAAATAAATTATTTAAATATATTATATAAACTTCTATTTAAAAATAAATATAAATGAAGAAATTAAACTTAAATTTATATATTTAATTAAAAAATATATGTTTTACTATTAAGAATCTATAATCTCAATTACTTTAAAAATTAAAAATCTGTCATTAGAAATAATAAAAATATTACAGTTTATTGATTTATTATATATTTTCTAAAACTTGTAATATAAAAAGTAATAAAAAGATTATAAATCAAATGATTTAAATCTTATATTAATATGTTGATATTAAGATTTTCATAAAAATAATAAGTAAAATAAAAGTAATATACCTATATAAAATATAAAATAATTAATAATAAAAAGGATTGAGTAAAATTATAAATTATAATTATATATTTTATTAAAAAGAATAATATTATTATGAAGATTTATAAAAATATTAAAATGAAATTGAAAATTTAGCAAAGATCATAAATATTTTATTAAAAATAATTTTTTTAAGTATTTATTAAGTATAGATATATATATATATAATTTATAAATAAAAATAATAAGTAATTATAAATAAATTATTTGACTTCTTATATTTAACTATTACTTTTATAAATGTAAATAAGAAATAAAGTAAAGATTTTTTATTAAATATATTAATTATCTTAATAATATAAAAATTTTACTATTTCTACTAATTATAATAAAGTAATATAATTATTTAATTTTATTATTTAAATCTATATAATGTAAGTTTTAATAATAGATAAGTATAATATTAATTTAGTAGTAATTTAAATATAATAATCTGTAAATAAATATGTAAATGAATTTTTAGATTTTCTGTTTAAATTTGTAGAGTAATCATTATAATATATTAGCAAATTGATTATTTAAATAGATTATTTATAAAGATAAAAATTTTTAATTTAATTATAAATTAATTAGAAAATTTAAAAATAATAAAAGAAAAAATTTTATTAAATTAAATCTTATAATTATTTTAGTTTTATAAATAATTTTAAAAGAAAAAATTAATAAAATATAATTTTATCTTAAATTTTAAAATAATAATTTATTTATCAGTTAAGTGATTATTCAAATTACTTGTCAATCACTAATTAAAATTTTATGTAATGTTAAAAATCATGTATAAATAGTCTAAATACAATGTGATATTGCTTTAAATAAACCATTAAAAAACCTAAAAAATTTTTAATCTAAAGGTTTTTGACTACCTATTTGTATTTTTTTTTATAATATAACATTTATACAAAAATTTTATATTTGATCTACTTTTTCTCATTTTTTTTGATTTTAATGCTAAAATGCTAATTTATATTTTTTTTTAATCTATTATAAATATATAAGTATATATATTTTTATAAATATAATCAATTAATTACTGACTAAAAAGCTTTTATAATAATAAGTTTTATAATTAAAATAATAAATGAAATAAAAATTTTTTTATTCTAAAAATAGTAATGATTATATATAAGATCTTTGCAATAGAAAGGAAGGAAACTCCAAAAAAATTAAAATTTTAGTTTATAAACCAAAAATGTTCTATATACTATAATTTGTTCAGATTTATTATTAACTCATTTTTTATTTTTTTTTGAGTTTCCTCCCTTTCTATTGCAAAGGCCTTATATAAGCTCTCATAAAGATTTTTTACATAATTTAATAGTTCATTTATTACTTAAAATAAAGTGATCCTCAAGATTTTTGTTTATTAAAAGATTGATTTCCTTTTTTTCATTTTAAATATCCTTAATTTAATCTTTCAAATCCTTTTCATTTATCATGTTTTTATTAATATATTATTTAATAAATTTTATCTTAAATATTTCTAATATCTCGTCAAAACTAAAATAAATAAGAACTGCATTTTTAAAATTCTTATTAAAAATCTAAAAAAATAATAATAACATAGATCTTCCTTAAATAATCTATATGAATCTAATAATTTTTATAATTTATTTTTTAGAACTAATTTTCAGTATTAATAATATAATGATTTTTTGATCAGTTAATTAAAAAACATATTAAAATTTATATAAGAATATGATATTTGTTTAATTTAAATAAAAAAATTATAACAAAATATTATTTATTCTTTCTTTTAGATATTTTGTATTAAAAAAAAATATATAGTTAATACTCTTTATAATGAATTAATAATTTTGTTAAAAAAAAAGTTTATTATATAAATTACTATACTTTCTATATAAACTATTACACTTTTTATAATAAATTATTATTAAAATTTAAAAATTATGAGTTTATTATATTTAGTATTCATTATAAAAGATTTATTATAATTAGTTTCTATTATTGAAGTTTTAAAAATTATCTTGTGATATTTAATAATTAAAAATTATTAATCATTAATTTAATAATTAGTGCTCTGTACAGGTCAGGTTAGGTCTGGTTTGAGGGGATGTTCAAACTCGACTCGAATATTCATGTAACCCGACTCGAATTTTTGGGTCGATCAACTATGTAACCTGAACTTGACTCGACCTGACTGTAATTTGACTCGAATAACCCAGGTTAAACTGAATTTATATGAATTTTATTAAGTTTGGCAAAACAATAGTAAAATTAATTGACAAGTTACATTTTAATAATGTTTTTTATTTATTCAATTAAAATTGACCAGT